TTTCTGTCTTCTTGTGGGCCTTGGTGTCAAAAACTCTCATCTTAAGTAGCTTTGCTTTGTTTCTGTCTCTTCTGTGCCCTGTATGTCTTCTTGTGGGCCTTGGTGTCAAGAAACCTCTCACCTTAAGTTGATTTGCTTTGTTTCTGTCTCTTCTGTGCTCTTTCTGTCTTCTAGTGGGCCTCGGTGTCAAAAATCTTAAGTTGATTAGCTTTGTTTCTGTCTCTTCTGTGCTCTTTCCGTCTTCTTGTGGGCCTTGGTGTCAAAAACTCTCATCTTAAGTTGATTTGCTTTGTTTCTGTCTCTTCTGTGCTCTTTCTGTCTTCTTGTGGGCCTTGGTGTCAAAAACTCTCATCTTAAGTAGCTTTGCTTTGTTTCTGTCTCTTCTGTGCCCTGTATGTCTTCTTGTGGGCCTTGGTGTCAAGAAGCCTCTCATCTTAAGTTGATTTGCTTTGTTTCTGTCTCTTCTGTGCTCTTTCTGTCTTCTAGTGGGCCTCGGTGTCAAAAATCTTAAGTTGATTAGCTTTGTTTCTGTCTCTTCTGTGCTCTTTCTATCTTCTTGTGGGCCTTGGTGTCAAAAAAACTCTCATCTTAAGTTGATTTGCTTTAAGTTGATTTGCTTTGTTTTTGTCTCGTCTGTGCTCTTTCTGTCTTCTTGTGGGCCTTGGTGACAAAAAAATATCATCTTAAGTTGATTTGCTTTGTTTCCGTCTCTTCTGTTATCTTTGCGCCTCCCATGCACCTCGTAGTGATGCAAGTGGTGCTTTGGAACGCCCCCGACTTTTTTAGCATTTTCTCTGTCATTTTTGTATCCGATGACCTTGTGGAAAGTCGGGGCCCAGTTTGTCAAAAAATTGTCAAAAAACAGTGCATTAATGATCCAAAAAAGTCTTATTTTTTGCTGTGTTTTCCAATGTTTTATGCACATTGCATTTCAAAGCCTTCGAATGCGAGATAACAAGATAAACCTCAAAAATTGCCTCTCGTGCAGGTAAAATGCAACTTTTTGAAGGTAAATAAGCTCAACACAAACCCACCCAAAGCAACTTTTTACTGTAAATTACAGTGTTTTTTGCACCTTCGAACCTGCCTCAAGACACCCCAAAAGTCTGCAAATCAAAACCTCGCACTCCCCCCCCCCCCCCCCGGAACTACCTCCCGGCCAACAACTCAAAGCGATATTCATCGCTTTCCGTCATCATAACGACCCGTGATGAGCCACAACAACTACACCCCATCGGAGATTCCAAAATCAGCAGTTCTACAAGGACACCGCGGGGGTCCAAAAAACGGTTCGTCTTAGGTTTTAGGGCGGATCGGTTCTTCAGTTCTTCAGCTATTTGCGATCAGTTCTTCAGCGATGTCACTGGATCACCCTTCAACCTGCAAACAAGTTGAAAGAGCAGTACCTCCATCATTGTCATCGGAGCACCCCTCCGTTTTGAATTGTTTGGAATATTCGTTGTTTGGGACGTTTGAACGGGTCGTTGGAGTCGGTTCTTGTTTCGTCTCCACTCAGGGACGAGACAATGAGATGCTTCCACGCAGCTTCGCCTCCTCCAAGGTGCCGATGTTTGATGAAATCCCGTCGGATCCAGTCTGGTCCCAAACGAGGTCAAGTTCTGCCCTGTGAGGTCGGGTGTGAATGGTGAATAGACAGGTGAATATCCCCATGTGAATAGGTGAGATATTCTCAGATTTATATCGAACATGGGACTGCCAGAGCTCAAGTCATTTGATCTGCCAGAGTGAAAAAAAGATCCATGTAAACAAAGAGTGCAAGACAACGACTGAACTACTCTCATGATCTCTCTTTTGTAGAAAGAGCTGCCTGGGAAGCAATTGTTTTGCTTTGCGATGGTTCCTTGAAGTGCCAGGACTTCTCATCCATCATGTTGGCCGTGCACCATCGGTAGGTCGCTGGGGTCTCGTATAGCCAACAAAGTCAAATCCGCTTCCGTCCTTTCCCCAAGAATGACACGCAGGCAGGTTGGTGGTTCGATTTGGTTGGATCTGGTTTGGATGTCTACATCATAGAAGTGACCTTTTTTACAGGCCAAAGTGACCTCATTCTGGGATCTCAAAAGGTATATTGAAACAGCAAGTGTTACTTCAGTGGAAATATTGTTGAAGGGGACAGTGCAGAACACTCCCCTAACATCTCGTGGAGGCCTCAAGTAGTGTCCCTCCTAACATCTCTTCCTGGCTCAAGTCCTGCTTGCATGACTCTTTTTCTAAACCAAGGAATACACAAATGTTGGTATGGAGCACATGTGGTATCTCATGTCCAACCCCCCCCAATTACCAAACAACTCTCCGGCAGAGGTACAACAGGTACAGAACTATATAATGTAGAGACTGTTACAGACTCTCGATTCATAAACCCACCCCCGGATGCACTACCACTACCTCTTCATATGGGATGGGCTTTGATCCTCAAGAGTCCTACATGACTTCGTTTCAGCTTCCGTTTCGGTTTCGACCGCACGAACCGACGACTCGGCCGCAGGGCTCGCGGCCACCCTCCTTGTCGGATCGCTCGGATGCGCTGGAGCCAATACAGGAGCGAGTCCAGCCGGAGCAAGGACGCTACGAACGTAGCAAAGCCCCAAATAGATACTGTAGTGGCACAGTTTCCAATACATTTGAAAGGGATTTTACTGTACTCTATATCTATTTGGGGGGTTGAATAGATATCAAACGTGACCAACGACTAGCTCACCAGCTACATGTTCCCATCGCTTTCACTCATGTGAGCGACTGACAAAACCATTGGTTGACTTATTTTGTCACGGCATGACCCTAACCTATGTTGAGGGATGTTGAGGGCTTTATTTCTGTGGAAAACAATATATGGTCGCCACCAAAAACGATAATATTATTAAGATGTAGTGGGTATACAAAGACGTTTGTTGTTACCATGTTGTGTTGCCAATAAACATTCCTGGTTGACAGAACTTCTTCGGTATGTTTTCCTCCCCAAACCATCTGATACATCGTTTGGAGCCGAGGTTGACAAGAGGAGCATGTTGAAAGATTCTTCGGACCTTCCAGTGAGAAAGAAAAGAGGTGATCACCCCCAACCTGGGTAATCCATCAAAGTCGGCGAGGCTCGTGCACAATGTCAGCGACTAGTCAACAATTTGGAACAGTCCGCATCACCGTGTGCACCCCTCATAACCACTTCTTGGATGTCACCGGCAATATTAGACTAATTCCAGGCTTTGGCGGCTATGCCCATTTCATGTGTATGTGTATACACATATAGTAACATAGAACCCCCAAACCACTGGGTTGTAGAGGAATATTGTCTTCCGGTCAATTCTGAGGTTCCATGTCAATTTGCGGGGGATATAGCATATCTTATTTGATGTTGCACACAATTTGTCATTACGGTCGCAGAGTTCGCACGTGGAGTTCCCAATTTCTTTACTTTGCTTCGAGTGATCCCCACCATGACATTTCAATCATTTGTTTTCATACCATGGCGAGGAGCATGTTGCCATGGTCGTGGGGTTGTGTTAACGATGTTGCTTGTGATTGTGATTGTGATTGTGTGTTTGCGGTTGTGGTTGTGTGTTAGTGATTTTGTGTTTGTGGGTGTGCGTTTCTGGTAGTGTTTGTGGTTCTGTGTTTGTGGTTTTGCTTGTGGTTTGTGTGTTTGTAGCTGTGTGTTTGTGATTGTGTGTTTCTGGTTGTGTTTGTGATTGTATTTGCGGTTTGTTTGTTTTTGGCTGTATTTGTGTTTGTGTGTTGTGGTTGTGTTTTGTTGGTTGTATGTTATATGTTGCGTCTTTGTCGTTATGTTTTGTGTTGAGGTCTTGTAGTGCCCACTGCGATCTGCCACTTGCGGTTGAGGTCCGAGACTGCCCACTGCGATCTGGCGCTTGCTGTTGAGGCCCGGGCGGAGGAGAGGGAGGAGAAGACTATCTGTCAAAATCTCACAACCCTCACCTGACAGGTGGGGAACAAAGCAGATGTGGAGCTCAATACGATGAGTTGTTGACCTTTGCAGCTTGTATTTCCCTGCTGGAGGCATCCAGAATCAAAGTACTCAACAAATGTCAAGGGTCGTTGATTTTCAGCTCCACTCAAGCCTCTTCAGCCTCGCTTGCGTGACTTCTTGGTAACTCTCAAATCCACCACTAGATCTGCTAGGCGTATGAGCACGACAATCCTTTGGGGACTATACAGGGTCCCGTCAGCCAGGGGCCAGGTGATGTAGAAACGATAGGTATTTGCTTCTGCCGCATGATAGTGCCTGATAACTATACATGGTGCAGCTCATTCAATACCGGCAAAGGTCGAATGAGGTATCAAACATGGAATTGATATGATGCTGTCATAGCACATCGACAGCAACAGCTGCAGGAGTTTGAGCAGAGTCGAAAGAAACACATCAGCGACATGGAGTATATCTCATAGCCTTTGAACACGCCGACGCCGTACAGGCGCCACAGACCACCCGGGGATGACTCATGTACCTCTCGACTGCCTAGCGTTGTACAAACGTTCAGTTGTATCAATTCAATCATCATTCCGGCAATCCTCAATCTTGTCCCAGCCTCTTTGTTAATCCAGGTCCGATGCTTTAATAAGAAAATTTTCAGCGTATACATGGAGTGACACGTGTTGCATGGGATTTTGGCATGCAACTGCAAAGAACCACTAGCAATCACACTCCCGGTGCAGGATGACACAGCTGAAATGGCCAGAAGATGCCATAAGGATAGTCTGCGCCCAGGTTTCTACTTAACTATACCCGTCTGGAATCCAACTATTTTTTCCTGGACCTGGGCCACAACTATATATAAAAACAATAGGTCCCCCTACCATGGCACATGGACCTGGCAAGCAGGACTTCATAACTGTTTCATATTCGTAACATGATTTCATCAAACAGGATTTTATAAAAGTATGTTTTTTTAATAAAGTCCTAGTGGTGATTCCATTGCAGATTCCTGGAACAATACCTTGTTTTAGGATTTTATAAATTTATACTGGCAAACCAGACGGCTAAAGTTGGGGGGGGCAGGGCGGTGCTGATTTTCGTTTTTTTTCGGACGGTGAAGAGGACTAGCCTCCAACCTAAGAGCGAAGGCCTCCACTAGCAAACTCTCTGTGTCAGACCTGCAGCCAGAAAGATCGTGCTGAATCATCAGGCATTGGGCCATGCTATGTTGTCCTGTACAGTCATGAAAATCACTGTAAAGAAGGCTGGCAGAAGAAGGCTGGCTCAATGCCTAAAGTTGTATGTTGGACGTGACACAGCACTGCTAGGAACAGGATTTTATAATTGGATACCACTTTTAACAGAACAAACAGGATTTTATAATTAGCGAAGATCTCGAAGCCTTTGTTTTGTAGGTGTTCCATTGTTGTGTGGACTCTTGCTGGAGGTAGCCTGAGTGAAGATGACTGTGAAGATGGCGGCGATCACTTCCAAGACTTTGACAGGAAATGATGATGGCAATGATGATGAGGACATTGTGCCACCAATAGCCCAGTCTGAATCAACGGATCAATGCTTGGAGATGCTGCGACGCATCCAGGACATGGAGAAGAGGATCCAAGATGAAGACAATGAGGTGAAGCATTCAGATCCGCCACAGGAAGATGCTGCCCCAGGGAGTAAAGACCTTCAAGCACTTTTTGAGATCCCGGAGGATGCAGTGCAGTTTGATTCTTCCAAATCCATGCTTGGAAGGCTTGGCAGTTGTCGGACACTTTCGAAATTCTTCGACATTGTCTCTGGAGGTGTGGCTCACCAGGACATAGAACCGTTGTGGGGTCCAATGTGGCAGCTGTTGTGCAATTTGAGAGTGCCTGCTGACAAGGCTTGGTTGAAGAACCATCGTGGGTCCAGGGTTCGATCCGACAATCTGTCATGGCATCAAATTGCCGAACATGAGTGCTCAGTGGCTTGGATGTTGAGCACGCGCAAGATTTTATAAACGTCACATTTTGTACGCTATATCAAATTTCAGGATTTTATAAGCTTCACATATATCACATATTTCATTTCACTCTGTGCTAAGGTCATGAGGCGGATAGCAGGAGTTTCGGCTTCCCGCACGTCCAGGGTGGCTGCGTGGATGAATATGAATGCGGCCCTCCCGGCTCCAACAAAGGTCTCGTTGGAGGTGGGTTCCATCATGTTGTACGCCACCCACCAGTGGAAAGGAACCAAGTCACATTGAGGTGTGCTTTGAGTGTGTTCCGCTTTGGGAAGCAGGGATGTAGACTCACCAGCTTTCCTGTTCCCTTTGAAGCAGTGGCCAAAATCCGCATGGTGCCGCTCCGGCGCATTGCAGACGGCGAGGAGGAGGAGGCATGGTACGGATGCAATTCCTTTTCTGGGTGCATGCTGGTCAACCAAAGCAGGTTCATCGCAAAGCTCACGGTCAAGGAATGTTTGGCTGGCTTGGATGGAATGCGTGTGGCGTTGAGTGATGATGACAAGATCGCCATGCAGGAAGCTCAGGGCAGCTCAGAATTAATGGACATGATCCTCAGCGGCGAGAAGAAACCAGGCAGAAAGAGAACGCAGCAGACCACCGATGCCGATGAGGTCGCTGCGCAAAGCAAGGCTTTCCAGTTCATGCCTTCGTCGTTTGGTGCAAGCAAAGCTGGAGGTCGCAACATTCAGCGTTGCATGGAGGATTTGCTGAATCTGTACAGGTTAAGCTTCCCCTGCAGAACATCTTCGACGAGCATGGCAATGTCAAAAGCACAGGAGTGGCTTGGGAGGACACAGTGAAGAGATCAGAGTTCTTCTCGAGCTACTTTGGTCATGCGAAGAAGGGCGACAGGTCAGCGCTGATCTTCAAGTACCTGGAGGACATCAAGCGTGCTTTGATGGAGAAGCCTGCAAGAAAGCATGGTTTTTTCAAGCTGCTGTCCGAGATCCCCAAAGGATCTCGGATGATGAACGACACTGCATGAGCATGCCGGAAAAAAGTCAGCTCTGCATGCTCTGCGATGGATTTCCATGGATGGACAAGACAGCTTTTCTTATATTTTTCTGTGTGGAAATGTTAGTGTTTTGGTGGGCGCAAGGAATTCATAAATCTATGGTGCCCCAATCCCCGGGGAGGACGTGACCAGGAATCCGCCAAGATCTACGAGTGTTTCCCCAGGGAGTTTAATGTCCCAGTGATAGGATTTTATAGAACCTAAATTTTGAAGCATGGACCTGGCCAACAGGACTTAATAAATCTCGCGAATTAAATTTTCCTAGGAAATTTCTATTTTTTCTAGGAGTCCAGGTCCCCCTGGAGTACACACGGGTATCTTAACTGATCTGATCAGGCATCAACTCAAAACCAGATCTGCGACATCAACAGCGGTCGAAACAGCGTGGGTGTCGCGCGCGGGTGTCCAAGAGTGAAAAACCACGGATTCGCGGATGCTGTCACTGCTAGACTGTCTGAAAGGGCACGAAAAAGGACCGCGGATTCGTTTTTTCTTCCATGTTTCCCGTTGTTTCAGTTTCCTGAAACTCCTGTCCCCTGTGACGGCCTGCGCATGTGCAGCATGCTGCAAAAATTGGTTCTTTATTTAGTTTGTGAAGGTGTTTGACTCTGCCAAAATGCATGACTTTGGTCTTTCCTGTAGATGTCACGGTGCAAATTCTGCCACTTAAGCATGCATATATAATCATAATATGGTTGTCGATCTAAAGGTCCTAGACAGGATTGTTGATGACGATGACCCGGAACGTATCAACATCTCATTTGGCGAAAGTTTTTTCTCGAGTTGGCGAAAGTATTTTTTTGGCGAAAAATATGGCTAAAGATGTTCTTTCTGCTGCTGTTACTACTCCTGCTACTACTACTACTACCACTACTACTACTACTACTACTACTACTACTACTACTACTACTACTAC